AACTCAGAGGAGCATAATGGCTAACTTATTTCCGTCAGCCACTCCCTGTTTTGCGAGGCTTCTCATGGAAAGCTCTTCCTCGCCGAGCTTCCAGACAACGCTCAGGTATCGTTGCTCCGGATCAAGCCGCTCGGCAAGTGTGCTCATTACTTCACAGAAAATCTTAGATGTTGGGACTGGGACAGGCGCGTCGGCTATGTATGGTCGTACACATCAAAAGCGTTGAGGAAGTAATGCTGACATTCGTACCTCAGCGAAGTTGGCGAAACTCATCCACACGCCCTCGTGGTTGGAATCGACCTATCACCGATTCAGCCTCAATATGTTCCGCCGAACGTAGAGTTGTCAGTGCAGCCTGCTCCTTGACATCACCAATTGGAATTTGCGAGGGCTCCTTTTTGCATGACAATGCTGACTTCTCTTTCAGCCAAATCGATGACTTCAACGAACCGTGGACATTCAAAGACAATTCTCTCGACTACATCAACATGCGGTTCCTGACTGGATCCGTTCGTGATTGGGAATTTTTAGTGGGTGAAGCCTATCGCTGCCTGAAAGAAGATGGGATTCTGGAAAGTTCGGAGCCATCATTTCTCATCGAGAGCGACGACGGCACGGTGGACCAGAGAAGTGCCTGGAATCAGTGGCACGGAGTCTTCCAAGAATACGGGGCCCAGATTGGACAGACGTTCTCTGTAGTGCAAGAGGGCATACAAAGACAGGCTCTGGAAGAGGCACACTTCAGTGACATCCGAGAGCTTGACTATAAGGTACAAATTGCATCACTGCCATCAGTGCTTGGAGAGAAGTTTAACATTTGATCTCAGATACCGATCGGGAGTTGGCCAAGAGATGAAGAATACAGATGGTTGGGACGCTGTGCGCAGTCAGCAATAGAAAAAGACGCCTTGGGGTTTCTTCTACGACCGTGTACATCAGCTGGGTGGGATGTGGGACACATCGAAAATTACCTTGCCGGCTTGAAAGCGGAGATGAGGTCAGGCCTGACGCATCCGTGGTTTCGGTTTAAGAAGGTTTGGGGGCGTAAGGTGCCATCATCTTCAGTCGTACAGTAGTGTAGGGTTGGAATCGCTAGTCTGGAGGTTCATTTGATGCTGTATCGTAGTTTACGCGACATATATACTGAAAAAGCTACACACCGTGTAGGTGCCATTTTCGGAGCGAGATCGTCTTTGTGCATCGTGAACCATTCAACTAAACAACTGTTATACTAGTCGCCAGGAGCCAATTTTGGCAAAAGTCTTGAACAGAGTTTGACTACCTTGAGGGAATAGCACGGCAACATGTTGCCTGTTACATACATACATAGTTTATTACGCCCCGGCTAAGCTATTCAGGGCTCGTGTGATTATCCACATATTCTCCACTTTCGTTCATATCCTTGCCTCCCAGAAGCCCATACAAGTTTTGTCTGCCTCCGTATGTGTCATCTTCAGTTTTACATGCCAATGCTGCGGTTGCTCGTGGTGTTAGTAACAGGCCATCTTGAGGTTGTCTCCCAAAGTGTTCAGCGTCCTATCGTCGGCGGCCGAAGCCAGTCCTGCTGTCGGTGGCACGAGGGTGCGTGGGGGTTGTCGTCGGTTAGTGTGTTGATGTAGGTGGTGTGTGATCTCGCTGCTGGTTGATCTGTGCATCCAGCCTCTGTGTACTCATGGCAAACTTGATCGTCTCTTTGACAACGTCTATGCATGGCGACCAATCATCAGGGTCGGACGCGCTCTTTCCTCCGAGAAAGTACGATAGGTTTCCTCTCTGCGTTTCCGTCTGTTGAAGCATCCGAGTTCGTTGTGCCGTCCACTGTGTGCAACGGAAGAGAGAATACTCTACCGATTCTGCCGCATGCTCGCAGGCGCAATGCGCCGAGGCAGTTGCTCCGATCTGGTGCAGGTACCAGTTCAGTCTTGCCATGCCGGTGCGCAGTTGCGCTAGGATGCTGGCTTCTTTCCAAGAGAGCTCGTCATATAGGTCACGTGTATGCCTTCCTGGTAAAGCGACGTCGATCTTCTTTGAATGTGCTCCCACGTTGTTGGGTAAAGCTCCGTACTTCTGTCGCACGTTCTGTAAAGCGATTCTAAGTGCCGTCGAGTAGGCTCTGGTCGGTCGTTTCTGCGGTGTCTTGTTCGGTCTCGTGCTGTCCTTTGCTGCTGCTTTGGCCGCTTGCGCCAGGTCTGACTCTACAGCTGA